ACTACTACTACTACTACTACTACTACTACTACTACTACTACTACTACTACTACTACTACTACTACTACTACTACTACTACTACTACTACTACTACTACTACTACTACTACTACTACTACTACTACTACTACTACTACTACTACTACTACTACTACTACTACTACTACTACTACTACTACTACTACTACTACTACTACTACTACTACTACTACTACTACTACTACTACTACTACTACTACTACTACTACTACTACTACTACTACTACTACTACTACTACTACTACTACTACTACTACTACTACTACTACTACTACTACTACTACTACTACTACTACTACTACTACTACTACTACTACTACTACTACTACTACTACTACTACTACTACTACTACTACTACTACTACTACTACTACTACTACTACTACTACTACTACTACTACTACTACTACTACTACTACTACTACTACTACTACTACTACTACTACTACTACTACTACTACTACTACTACTACTACTACTACTACTACTACTACTACTACTACTACTACTACTACTACTACTACTACTACTACTACTACTACTACTACTACTACTACTACTACTACTACTACTACTACTACTACTACTACTACTACTACTACTACTACTACTACTACTACTACTACTACTACTACTACTACTACTACTACTACTACTACTACTACTACTACTACTACTACTACTACTACTACTACTACTACTACTACTACTACTACTACTACTACTACTACTACTACTACTACTACTACTACTACTACTACTACTACTACTACTACTACTACTACTACTACTACTACTACTACTACTACTACTACTACTACTACTACTACTACTACTACTACTACTACTACTACTACTACTACTACTACTACTACTACTACTACTACTACTACTACTACTACTACTACTACTACTACTACTACTACTACTACTACTACTACTACTACTACTACTACTACTACTACTACTACTACTACTACTACTACTACTACTACTACTACTACTACTACTACTACTACTACTACTACTACTACTACTACTACTACTACTACTACTACTACTACTACTACTACTACTACTACTACTACTACTACTACTACTACTACTACTACTACTACTACTACTACTACTACTACTACTACTACTACTACTACTACTACTACTACTACTACTACTACTACTACTACTACTACTACTACTACTACTACTACTACTACTACTACTACTACTACTACTACTACTACTACTACTACTACTACTACTACTACTACTACTACTACTACTACTACTACTACTACTACTACTACTACTACTACTACTACTACTACTACTACTACTACTACTACTACTACTACTACTACTACTACTACTACTACTACTACTACTACTACTACTACTACTACTACTACTACTACTACTACTACTACTACTACTACTACTACTACTACTACTACTACTACTACTACTACTACTACTACTACTACTACTACTACTACTACTACTACTACTACTACTACTACTACTACTACTACTACTACTACTACTACTACTACTACTACTACTACTACTACTACTACTACTACTACTACTACTACTACTACTACTACTACTACTACTACTACTACTACTACTACTACTACTACTACTACTACTACTACTACTACTACTACTACTACTACTACTACTACTACTACTACTACTACTACTACTACTACTACTACTACTACTACTACTACTACTACTACTACTACTACTACTACTACTACTACTACTACTACTACTACTACTACTACTACTACTACTACTACTACTACTACTACTACTACTACTACTACTACTACTACTACTACTACTACTACTACTACTACTACTACTACTACTACTACTACTACTACTACTACTACTACTACTACTACTACTACTTGGAAGCGTGTTTTTATTGACCACATAAAATGATGATGCAAAGAAAGAAAAGAACACCGGAAACATAATGCTGGATTTGAAAGAAGAAGAGAAAAAGGAAGATTAAAAGAAACCTGACCAAGAGAACTCAAGCATTGCACCCAGGAGGCAAAAATGAACTCAATCCCTAGCATAGGCTCAATGAGGTCGTGTAATTGCACAAATTTCAACGGATCCAAGTAAAACTCCAACCAACAAGTGGAACGAATCCAAATATTACAAAGCAACAGCGAAAATAGAATAACAACACAGTGAACAAAAAAAGAAAAGAATACTATTCGATAGACAAGTCCAGTTACTGCACACGTGACATGTGCGCCAGTGCACGGCACTCGGTTACGAAACCATGACGGCCTGTACCGGAGACACCACGGGCATACGACGATCTTGACCCCCGAAAACACGTAATCTGCCACCGGATTAGGGAGGTACTTATCCTCGATCGCAAGTGACCAAGGACAAGGGCGTACTGAAGATCCCGATTCTTATCTGCTATACGGGCTGCCAAAGTCTTCAGGAATCTGCTGCACTCCGGCGCACTCTGACCATTCGTTGCGAAAACCAGAGGGGTAAATGACCCACGATCCACCTGGTTAATCCGGTCAGCATACTGTCGCTTCTTCTGGCGCTCATGCTGGGACAACTGACCCGCCACTTCCGGTCCAGACAGCAAAGACGGCCTTGGGTGAGTCACCCGCACATCAAAAAAGGCGTTTTGCTGCCTGGTCCAGAAGCCACGAGCCCGTATGTCCACACGAGCGCCATCAGCTGAGCTGCCAGAGACTGCCTCGCCCTGGAGTGGCATCAGCGGTGGCTCGATCGCCACATCACACACGACGCTGCCGAGGGCGTCCGCAAGGAGATCCCTCAACTCGTTGTGGCGCTGCGTTGGGTAGCCTCCACTGGGGCAAGTGAGTGCGTGATGGCTTGACATCTCCCCTCCACACACACAGGACAATGCAACCCCATCCAGCGATAAATCATACCGCAGACAGAGTGCATCCCTGAAGTCAGATTTATTAAATACTGACCCAGGTATGTGCATGGAAGGGGGAGTGCCAAGCCAAGTGGATACACCACCCTCACCTGCCACATCCACAAGGAGGCGCTGCTGATCCGATAGATCAGGCTTGATCCCAGTCAAGATGTCCAGCTGCTGAGACCGGCGTCGGCCACGAGCCTGAACTGCCAATGCCTTGCTGGTTGAAATTACGTCGGCGACTCGACGCTCGCCCAGACCGACCACCACACACGTCACCATAGGGTCTATCGCATCGCAACAGAGCAGACGCTCAGCCTCGGCACGCACACTCCCGATTCGCATAGCGAGACCGCCGTTTCGTAGGGGCAGAGATAGTAGCTGACGAAGCGCACCGTCTACTACTACTACTACTACTACTACTACTACTACTACTACTACTACTACTACTACTACTACTACTACTACTACTACTACTACTACTACTACTACTACTACTACTACTACTACTACTACTACTACTACTACTACTACTACTACTACTACTACTACTACTACTACTACTACTACTACTACTACTACTACTACTACTACTACTACTACTACTACTACTACTACTACTACTACTACTACTACTACTACTACTACTACTACTACTACTACTACTACTACTACTACTACTACTACTACTACTACTACTACTACTACTACTACTACTACTACTACTACTACTACTACTACTACTACTACTACTACTACTACTACGACTACGACTACGACTACGACTACGACTACGACTACGACTACGACTACGACTACGACTACGACTACGACTACGACTACGACTACGACTACGACTACGACTACGACTACGACTACGACTACGACTACGACTACGACTACGACTACGACTACGACTACGACTACGACTACGACTACGACTACGACTACGACTACGACTACGACTACGACTACGACTACGACTACGACTACGACTACGACTACGACTACGACTACGACTACGACTACGACTACGACTACGACTACGACTACGACTACGACTACGACTACGACTACGACTACGACTACGACTACGACTACGACTACGACTACGACTACGACTACGACTACGACTACGACTACGACTACGACTACGACTACGACTACGACTACGACTACGACTACGACTACGACTACGACTACGACTACGACTACGACTACGACTACGACTACGACTACGACTACGACTACGACTACGACTACGACTACGACTACGACTACGACTACGACTACGACTACGACTACGACTACGACTACGACTACGACTACGACTACGACTACGACTACGACTACGACTACGACTACGACTACGACTACGACTACGACTACGACTACGACTACGACTACGACTACGACTACGACTACGACTACGACTACGACTACGACTACGACTACGACTACGACTACGACTACGACTACGACTACGACTACGACTACGACTACGACTACGACTACGACTACGACTACGACTACGACTACGACTACGACTACGACTACGACTACGACTACGACTACGACTACGACTACGACTACGACTACGACTACGACTACGACTACGACTACGACTACGACTACGACTACGACTACGACTACGACTACGACTACGACTACGACTACGACTACGACTACGACTACGACTACGACTACGACTACGACTACGACTACGACTACGACTACGACTACGACTACGACTACGACTACGACTACGACTACGACTACGACTACGACTACGACTACGACTACGACTACGACTACGACTACGACTACGACTACGACTACGACTACGACTACGACTACGACTACGACTACGACTACGACTACGACTACGACTACGACTACGACTACGACTACGACTACGACTACGACTACGACTACGACTACGACTACGACTACGACTACGACTACGACTACGACTACGACTACGACTACGACTACGACTACGACTACGACTACGACTACGACTACGACTACGACTACGACTACGACTACGACTACGACTACGACTACGACTACGACTACGACTACGACTACGACTACGACTACGACTACGACTACGACTACGACTACGACTACGACTACGACTACGACTACGACTACGACTACGACTACGACTACGACTACGACTACGACTACGACTACGACTACGACTACGACTACGACTACGACTACGACTACGACTACGACTACGACTACGACTACGACTACGACTACGACTACGACTACGACTACGACTACGACTACGACTACGACTACGACTACGACTACGACTACGACTACGACTACGACTACGACTACGACTACGACTACGACTACGACTACGACTACGACTACGACTACGACTACGACTACGACTACGACTACGACTACGACTACGACTACGACTACGACTACGACTACGACTACGACTACGACTACGACTACGACTACGACTACGACTACGACTACGACTACGACTACGACTACGACTACGACTACGACTACGACTACGACTACGACTACGACTACGACTACGACTACGACTACGACTACGACTACGACTACGACTACGACTACGACTACGACTACGACTACGACTACGACTACGACTACGACTACGACTACGACTACGACTACGACTACGACTACGACTACGACTACGACTACGACTACGACTACGACTACGACTACGACTACGACTACGACTACGACTACGACTACGACTACGACTACGACTACGACTACGACTACGACTACGACTACGACTACGACTACGACTACGACTACGACTACGACTACGACTACGACTACGACTACGACTACGACTACGACTACGACT